AGGAAATAGAGCAAACATTGCTCCATGTTTTCACTCCCAATGCAACCGTACCAGCATCGTCAGAAGAAACAGTCCAGTCAGGAAACCCCCTGTTGGATGATTTCAGCCAAAGGCCCACTGACTGACCCGACCCGATGATCCAATTCCTTCTTCAATACCGACATGATTGAAAAGACATCGATAAGACTACTACAGCATACAATATTCTCTTTCCAATAAAGAAGACGCGTCCCTCTACAGGAAAGATTCCTTCTGCATAAACGACAAAAGCCACGTTGCACTCCCTCTACAGGAAAGATTCCCTCTTCATAAGACGACAAAGGCCACGTCACATAAAGGACAACCTTGCTCCCTTTCCAGGTCACATCAATCAATATCCATGGACCAATTCCCTTCTTCTCCCACACATACGAAGAACTCCTACCACAGATCACACGCATCATCACTATACAAGATTCTCCATTAGTCATCAGCAAATCAGTGATAGCCACGTATCATCTCCTTATCTTTACGAAGCCTTCTCCAGCAAGCAATCAATCCTGAGCCACAACCTCCTTCAGCCAATCACATCCTTTGCCTTCATCAGCAAGCAATTGATTTCAACCACTCATTCAAGACCAAGCCCTCTATAAATACCTCTTCAACAAAGAAGAATTCAGAGCATCAAGGATATCTTCCAGCATACCAGCAGACGATCTCGCAGCAGCAGCACAGCAGCACAGCAGCATAGTTTCTTTAGATCTAGATCTTCTCATACTTTCTCTCTCATAAGATCTTTTCTCTTCTTCTTACCTTCTTCTCTTCTCAATCTGTATCTAAGACAAAGGTCATCGACGACTGAACTTCATAAAGTCGGTAACCTCCATAACTTTTATGTGTGATTGTAATCAGTCCTCTTTACCTTCCTATTTGCCTTCCGAGTGGAGGAAATTCGCAAGCCTGTGTATATGTAATCAGTGAGTAATGCAGTTCAAGTTAGTCTTTACTTTTAAAATTTCTGATTATACTCATACTTCTTGGATTGTCTTTGACATTTCAGTATTACCAATTATTGTTATAATATTTGCATTTCTTTATTACATTTCTATACTTCAGCAATTAATAACCTATAATACTACAATCTTTTCTTACTTATTATAAATTCCGCAATCTTTTATAATTTCCTTACCAGTTTAATACTTAGGGAGCAATGGATGATAGCAAGTAGTTCCTTTTTAACAGTGGAATAATTCTTTTGAGTTGGATTCCAGGCTTTTGAAGTAAACCGTATTAATTGTTCCTTAGAATTATTAAGAGATTGTTTTAAGATGCCTCCAAGGCCAAGATCAGAAGCATCGCATTCAATGATTTTAAATGCAATGGGATCAACGAGGTTTAAACATGGAAGTTCTTTAGCTTTAAGTTTAAGGCGTTGGACAGCTAAAGTATGAATATCAGTCCATGGGGGAGGATGCTTTTTTAAGCGATCATAAAGAGGTTTTGCATCTAAAGCAAGATTTTGGTAAAAATCACTTATGTAATTTAGACATCCTAGAAAGCGTTGTAATTCAGTTTTATTTAAGATTTTATCAGGGAATTTATCAGCAAAAAGTATTGAGCGATCAATTGGGATGATAGTTCCTTGATTTATATTATGTCCTAAGAATCTGATTTTTGTTTGAAATAAGTTTATCTTTGAAGAAGAAACTACTAAACCAGATGTCTTTATTGAATGGATAAAAGTACGTAAGTGTTTGAAATGCTGTTCTATGGACTCAGAAAAGACTAGAATATCATCGATATAAACAATCATAAATTTGGAAAAGGGATTGAATATATCATTCATTATTTTTTGAAATTCAGATGGAGCATTTTTCAATCCAAATGGCATGACATTCCATTCATATTGTCCAAAGGGAACATTAAAGGCTGTTTTATATTTATCTTTTTCGTTTATTTGGATTTGCCAAAAACCGGATTTTAAATCGAATTTGGAGAAGATTACAGCATGTAATAATCTATCTAGTAGATCTTTTTTATTTGGAATAGGATATCGGATCCATTTTAAAACTTTATTAAGGGGTTTATAATTGATGACTAGTCGAGGAACACCTCGTTCTTGTTCAGCATTTTTGTTAACATAGAAAGCAGAACAACTCCAGGGAGAAGTACTAGGACGTATTAATTTCTTTTGGAGTAGATTATTTATTTCTGTTTGACATGTTTGTAGTAGTTCGGTATTCATTTGGATTGGCCTAGCCTTAGTTGGTATTTTTGATTCATCAAAACTGGTTTCATATGGTAATCCTACTATATGTTGTTTTCGATGCCAAAATGCATTGGGTAGTTCATTACATATTTCTTTTTCAATAATATTCTTAAGATGATGTATTTTTTGTATCATTTCAGAAGATTGGAGGTTTTCGCTTATAATCTTATGTTTGATTTCCAATTGTAATGATCCTAAGAAGCTTTCTTTATTTTTGATATTTTGTTTAACAGTATTTATTTCTTTAATTCTCGGTTTATCAAGAAATTCAAATCTAATGGGTGTACCATGTATATTTGTTTCAAGGCCTGTATGGGAAACTGTAACTGGATATAATAAAGTAAGAAAAGGGACTCCTAAGATTACAGCTTGACTGAGTCCTTTGACCATGATGAATGGAGTAGGGAAGCAATGTCCTTCCGTACATATTTTTGCATTGGAAAGTTTGTATTTGATAAATAGTCTACTACCATCGGCTGTATTAAGGATTTGGGTGGTTTTATCAAAATATTTAGTAGGAACTAGTCCTTCATTAAGACAATTTAAATCAGCTCCTGAATCTATTAATGCTAAAGATTGAAACTCAAATTCATCATTTATTACAATAGTTATTAATACAAACCATTTTTGTGTGATTACTTTATTTATTATATTAACCGAATGTCTATTGGATGAAGATTCGCCACAATGTATTTGATCTAAATAATCATTAGGATGATTTGAATAATCATTGGGATGATATGATTTGAGTAAATGATTGAATTCTACCATGTCTTCCTCAGTCTGTACTTCAGAAGTATTATGAAGTTCAAGAATTTGAATTCTTGTTTTTAGTTGGGATAATTCTATTTTGACAGTATTAACTTCAGCTTTGAGTTCAGTAATAGTAGGTTCCTTTTGGGTAGCTTCATGCTGGCTGATTCTTTTCATAATATCAGAAAAATTATAATTATCAGGAGGTTTAATTAATGGTGTATGTTTTGGTTTTGATTTAGTTAGATTTATAAATTGAGTAATTATTTCTCTTTTTTCATTGGGATCGGATATTTTTTCTATCAAATCTAAAATAAGATTATCTTCTTTTGTTAATGTATGAATATCAGATGATATAGGACAGTTGCATATTTCATTATCATCGTCAATATCCGAACTGTTATTTGACCAATAAAAATCATCATTATGTATTGTTCCGAGGAAAGAAGTATCACTACTGGAAGAGGTAGTGTCTGTACTTGATGTTTCTGAATCGTATAATTGGATAATATCATAAATTTTATTTCGAATGGATTCATCTAAAGCAATGGAGTTTAATTTTTGTTTAACTTTGCATTGACTTTTGTAATGGCCTACTTTGCCACATTTATAACATATAGGTAATTTTTTCTTATTTTGAAATGATTTAGAAGCAAAACGTTTTGTAAACTTCTTGTATTTTTTCTGTTTAGTTGGAAAAGATTTATATGTTTTATCGGGTTTATCTCGATGTTTTTTCTTCTTATATACTTTATGTATTTTGGGCGGTTTAGTTTTATCTATATGACCGTGGTCCATATGATAGCCAAATTGTTGGCAGA